GAGTGCACAGCATGTCTTTGATTGTGTTGAGGAATGAGTCCACAGAGTACAGGAGCTGGAGTACAGCGATACCCGAGTGCAGTTCACATACTGAGCCTATGCGCCGCACAGGCACCCACGGGCCAGCTATAGTCAAGCGCGATATTTGTTTACGCTCTCTTACTCCTGATTGCTCTCTGCCACTGGGGGAGTGTTTTGCTGTGGTTTGGGTTCATGGGGTACCAAGCGGTACTGAGCGACTGTAACTTGTGTGCACCGGTAAGTTCTTTTAACCAAGGAGGATCATTTGCACATTTTCGCAGATTCACCAGAGTTTACAGGTTTCACCAATGAGACCTGCTAGTCGACATGGACTAGAGCAAGCAACCTGTGAAAGTGCAAAATGCTCCTCCCAAGTCGAATCGCGCCAAAACCTCATTACCTAGCAAATGCGCAAGATGAGAAAGATCTCTACAATGATACTATAAGCTTCTTTTCAGATACGGTCTTCAAAGTGGCATCCGTCGTTTCAATCCATTATGGATAGCGCACTCGCACGGTGGGCTTGAGTAAGCGGATCCGAGTTCCGCTAGTCAGGATTTTTGCCCAGAACTAAGCAAGCTTGCGATAACTTCCGGAAACTGCGGCATAGATAGCACTTATCATAATAAGACCACTTGTTTGAGAGTGCTGCCGTAGAGTGAGGTGGGTAGTCATCTTAATATGCATCTTTTTTGGGATTCTTTTGAGGCAACTCTTTTGAAACCGGAGTGCAACCATATCTCTTCCAAACGGCTAGGTCTTCACCGACTCTCCATCATTGACTAGTATTCATTTTCTGAATAGGGTTTGGAATATGTAGTCATATGTGCAGGTGCTGACAATCCTGACCCAAATATTTATACCGAGGTATTACCGATCAGACAACATTATTTAACGGAGCCTCTACTAGCCCTAATCAGCAGAACTATTGCTTACCAGACCGAGGCTGGAAAATGCAAGGACGAACGGCAAACAGGAAGTTAACAAACTGCTGATCGAACATTGCTAAAAGAGCCTTTGAGGCAGAGAGATTTTTTGCTGAGCGATCCATATGCGAGGGTCCATCTCCGAATACCTGAGCTGTGAAGTGGTTTTTATATTCTCTATTTATTCATCTTTAGGAGGCGGCATGTGGTGTAGTAGCAAGAAGCGGCTTATCATGCCCCTGATGTTAGGCACACATCCCTTATTGGCTGCCATTCAGGCCAACCAAACCTCTAGTCTTCGAAGACGGCAAATTGGGTCAGATTCGGGTGTCAGAATAGAAGCACTGACCTGTTCATAGGCTAACCCTCGAAAATCGGAGTATGGGCGGTATCGCAGTCGAAATGCGCTGTGGCAATTCTGAATATACACTGCGAAGCATAATCATAGTTCCACCCATGAATCTCACAAAATCCCGTCTTACACGACGTTTTCAAAAATGCCCCCATACAGAAAATGTGGTAATTACCAATACCAATTCGCATGCCAACACCAAACTCTAGCTTGAAAAAACATTTTTGTATGGGGGCATTTTTGAAAACGTCGTGTAAGACGGGATTTTGTGAGATTCATGGGTGGAACTATGATTATGCTTCGCAGTGTATGAGCATAGTGCAGCCTCTACCGTGCGA